TCTCTGGAAAAGGGAGGATCTCCTTTGTGGATTGCCCCCTCTTCTGTCTCTGGAAAAGGAGGGATCTCCTTTGTGGATTGTCCCTTCTCCTGTCTCTGGAAAAGGAGGGATGCTCCAGAAGCGGATTGCCTCCTCGGAAAGGTCTGTGTCCGGGCCGAGACAGCGCTGGCGGTGGATGTTCCTTCCCAAAGGCTGCCCGGCGGAGGCCAAGGAGCTCCCTGCATTGGGACAGGAATTTCCTCTCTGGAAGAGCTTGGGTTGGACAGGGGTCAATCCCTTTGATCTGCCCTGAGGGACCCGCTGATGGACAAATCCCCTTGGAATCCCCCGACACAAACAGATAATTTGGGGAGGTGACAGCCCGTTGTTCCTCTCCCAACGGAGCAGCTAATGGATGGGGATGGCGGCTCCCTGGGGCTCGCAGGGCTGGAAGCCGATGGCCCCCATAGCTGCTGTTTCATTCCCATTCCCTGCTCCACGGGCTCCTGCAGGGCCCACGAGCCCCAGTAACGCCCTGTGGGTCGGATCCCCATGGGATGGACCCGGCTGTTCTCCGTGCAGCCCCTGTCCCATGGGAACGGGTCCCACTCCGGCATTGCTTCCCAAGACGGTGCCAACTCGGTGCAGCCAGGCCAGGCTGCGGAGCTGAGTGGACACGGCGTTTTTCCCTGCTATTCCTGTTCTCCCGGGACAAGCGGAGCCCTCAGCACCCACCCAGCTCCGCATTTGGGAGCGCTGGAGCCGCGCGGCTCCGGGGCCTCCAAAAGCCCTCCGCCAGGCTGCGCATTTCAGCACGTTAAAACTCCTCTATCCCGCACCTCGGCAGCGGCGTCTGCCCCGGAGCTCGGCTGGCCCGGTGTCCAGGAGGGCTTCCCTGGAGCCCCTATCCCTGCCCTGGCCCCGGGAATGCGGCCGGGATCGTTCCCTTCCCCTCGGAGCGGCTGCGGCGCCCGCCCTGCTCTGTGCCAGCTCCCCCGGAGCAACCGGGCGAAGGGACAAGAGCTCTGCTTGCTCCCGGGGCGGGAATCTGGCACCGAATGGGGCAAAACAACCACAAAAACAGCATTTCTGGGGCCGCGTGTCCCAGCAGCAGCGGCCGGCGCTGCTGCCCGGAGCCGCGTGGCCGAGCCGGGATGCGCCCGAGCCGGGATGCGCCCGGCGGGGCAGGAGGCAGCGTTCCCGCAGGCGGGAGCGGGAGGCACTCGTCCCGGTGGGGCTCGGCCCGCTCCCCGGCAGCGCCTTTATTGAGGAGCGGGCGCGGCGGCGCGGGGCGCGGGCCGCTCGAAGCGGTGCCTGTAGAAGACGCGCGCGTTGGCCGCGTAGTCGAGCGGCAGCGCCCGGCCCGCGCCGCGGGCGCCCAGGCTGGCGGCGCCCAGCGCCGACGAGCCCTGCAGCTCCAGGAGGCTGAAGGCGGCAAAGGCTCCGTGTGGCCGCTCCAGCTGCGCCCGCTGCAGCCCCCGCACGAAGCCTGCGGCCGGCAGGGGCGCTCAGCGGCTCCGGGGCCGCCCTCCGCCGGGAGAGCCGCCTCCGGAGCCGCGTGGCTCCCGGGAAGCCCGGCAATGGGGGTCCCTTCCTGCGCGCCGCGCGCTCACCCTCCTTCAGCAGCTCCCAGCTGTTCCACACGGAGCCCACGCAGAGGATGGGCAGCCCCAGCTCGCCCTCGAAGAGGCTCTGCGGGCGGCCCGGCTGAGCGCGGTGCCCGCGGGGTCCCCGAGGGACCTCCCTGTGCCCGCCGTCACCGTCACCGCCACCTCACCTGGTCCGCGCGGGGCAGCACGGCGGCCACGTGGCGCGCCAGCCGCTCGCCGGCCTCGCCGAACACGTGGCGGCAGAGCGCGTCGCCGGCCTGCGCCCCTGCGGCACAC